ACGCGCAAAGAGATCACATATCTGCGCTGCACCACGCTGAGCGATGCTATATCGCATGCCCAAGCTTATGAAAGAGCCCACTTCGCCCAGCGCACCCACCAAGGCTCACAGCGAAACTTTGAGCGTGGTGGGACTGGCGACGCGCGAGGAGATTCGATGCCAGAACCTATGGACATTAGCGTCATCAATACCCGCAACATATCGACGGAAGAATGTCGCCGTCGCAACCTCTGTTTCTACTGCAAGTCTCCGGAGCACCGCATCCACAATTGCCCTAAGAAACCCGGCCAGGGAAACGCAGGAGCTCAGCAGATGTAAGTGGAGTATCTGCTGAGCTTGATGAACCAAGTGAATCTTCACCACGAATTTTTGTTGAAACTATCCAGACCTTACCGGCTACCGAGTTAAATACTGCAAATTTTGCGGCATACGGTGATTTTTCACCGATCGCAATTAGTAAAATGGACAACGGTCCTTCACCTGCGCCTCTTCTCTTCCACGATGTCACCATTAAAGGCAAGACGCTCCATATGCTTGTGGATTCGGGGGCTACCCACTGTATTGTGAAACAAGGCGTCTTCAGCGAGCTGCCCGGTGCGAGCGCAAGCACAGTGACAGCACGTGGGTTTGATGGGGCAGTACAGTCCCGGAGTGTAAGGTCATGTCAGCTCGAGGTGAGCTGTGAGTGCTGTGCTACTGTAGTGATGTCTTTCCTCGAGTGGCCTCTCGAGCAAGCATACGACGGCATACTCGGACAGCCATGGCTTCGTAATGCCAACCCTGTCATCGACTGGGTCAACGGCCTGATTCCCGGAAGAAAACTAAATTCTGATACTGTGTCGGAGTCGACACTGGCGGCTACAGATGGCAGTGTGACAGTAGCCGAACATGGAGCTGAGTCCGGCCCTGACCTATGCGAGTGTAAGGTGATAAGCATGAGCGAGTTTCTAGCTGGGTTGCGCAAGGGGGACTATGCTGAAGTTTATCGTATGGATACAAGTGCGGCCGTTCTCTCAAAAGAATTACCGGAAATTATCCAGCGCGTATTGGTCGAATTCGCCGACACTATGCCGGAAGAACTACCCGATGGGCTCCCTCCTGTCCGCCCAATTGAGCACGATGTGATAATGCAGCCTGGTGCACAGCCCAGTTCCCGAGCGCCATTCCGCCATTCAGACGTAGAGCGCCCCGCACTTCGTGATTTTGTGCAGAAACTTCTTGACAAGAAGTGGATCGAGAAGTCGTTTTCGCCGTGGGTATCGAACATTTTTGCCGTCCCAAAGAAGGATCCTACCACTGGCCTTATTCCTAAACGCATTGACTGGGTGCACGTGACCGATATTGCCAAGTTGCTGCGATGAGTAATTGACTATCGCTACGTAAATAGCAAATCGGTGATTCCCCGCATTCCTCTGCCCTATATTGATGAACTTTTCGCGAGAATGGTTGGAGCTGTTGTCTTCTCTACCCTGGATTTGCTAAGTGGGTATCACCAGATGCGCCTTTCGAAACGCTCGCGTATGTACACGGCATTTCGGGCAAACGGAGAAATATACCAGTGGCTCGTGGCGCCGATGGGCCTCGCCGGCATGCCCGGTACCTGGACCAGACTGATGAACGCTCTGTTTGGTGGTTCTGAGTTTGCACCGTTTGTTGTGGTTTACTTAGATGACATTTGTGTCTTTTCACGCTCCGTGGAAGAGCATGCTGAACACCTTCGACGAGTGTTTACTGTGTTGCGCCAGGAGAAGTTATTCGTCAAGAGCTCAAAGTGTCACTTTTCTCGTGACTCCGTAACCTTCCTCGGCCATGTCATCAGCGGGAATGGACTTTCAGTTGATCCAGACAAGACGTCCGCAATTGCCAACTGGCCGTTACCGCAAAACGCCCGAGATCTACAGCGCTTTCTTGGCCTAGCCGGCTATTATCGCCGTTTTGTGCCGCGCTTCGCGGATCTCGTGGCTCCTCTGTCGGATTTGCTAAAGCAGGATGTAGCCTGGATATGGACCAACGCCCACAGCCGCGCTGTCCATGCCGTCAAGGGCCATCTTCTTTCGGCGCCGATATTACGTCTTCCGGACCCGTCTAAATCATTTCGTGTGACCACAGATGCGTCTAAGCTGGCGGTGGGGGGCGTGCTCAGTCAGGAACACAGGGGCTTTGACCATCCCGTGGCATACTTCAGCAAAAAGCTGAATCCAAATGAGCAGAAATGGCCAACGCACGAACAAGAATTATTCGCGATCAAACTGTGCATGGGAAAGTGGCGCGTGTATCTACTGGGGAGGGAATTCGTTGTCTTCACCGATAATTCTGCTTGTCGGTGGTTCCTAACGCACCCAGATTTATCGCCGCGATTGACACGCTGGCTTGAGTTTTTTGGTCAGTTCGTGTTCAAGCTGGAACATCGGGCAGGGCATCTCAATGTCGTAGCTGACGCACTGTCTCGTCCTCCTGTGGTAGCCAACAATGTGGTGTTCGACAATCTTTACGGTTCGCGAATGGAGAAGATGTTGGTACAGGGCAACGGTGACTTTGGAGCTATTGTGCAGATCGAATTTGACGCTAATGCGGCCATGATGGTGACGCAGCTAGACCACGACTTTCGCCAACAGCTTTTAGCCGGTTACGAGCATGATCATGCGTTGTGCGACATTGTTACTCGATTCAAGACACATCCGGCCCATGAACACCCCCGATTCAGCTTCGAGGATGGTCTTCTAAAGCTGAAAGGCGAAGGTCGCACAAAGATCGTTGTTCTCCCTGTGATTGATGAGATCATTCTCCGAGTACTACACGACTATCATGACAACTCTATATCAGCACACCCGGGCGTGACACGTACTTACTTGGCAGTGAAGCAGTGATTCTATTGGGAAGGTCTCCGGAAGCATGTTGAACAATATGTTCTAACGTGTGAGTGCTGCGTTCGAAACAAGAGCTCTACTCGAGCACATCAAGGATTGCTACAACCGTTACCAATCCCCGATTATTGCTGGCAGCACATTACCATGGATTTCGTTACGGCACTACCTGTCTCGAAGGGCTACAACGCAGTATTAGTGGTGGTGGATCGACTAAGCAAGCGGCCGTGCTACATTCCAACCACCAAGGACGCAACAGCGGAAGTGACGGCCCGAGTCTTCTTTGATCATGTGGTTCGTTACTATGGAATTCCGACAAGTATTGTCAGTGACCGCGATAGCAAATTTTGCAGTAAGTTTTGGAGTGGATTAATGGCACACATGGGAGTGAAACTGCGTATGACAGTCAGCAAGCGAGCACAAGCTGATGGCCAGTCTGAGCGCCAAGTTCGAACGCTCGAAGACGCGCTCCGATGCACTGTTTCGCACTACGGTGACGATTGGGTCAAGGTGCTGCCCACAGTTGAATATGCTCATGCCACAGCACTACATTCGTCAACAGGAATTTCTCCCTTTCACCTAGATACTGGAAGGCAGCCTGCAGCAATGATCTCTCTGGAGTCGGCAGCGGTGGGGCCACACGATCAGTTTGTTCAAGCACGTGAAGAGCTGGTACGAGGCGCTAAGGAGCACCTGGCGCGAGCTCAAGCAAGGCAAGCAAGGTACCACAACCAGAAGCGAAAAGATGTGCAGTACAACGTGGGAGATTGGGTATATCTCGATGCCAAGGTTGTCAATCTGACCGAAATTGGACAACCAGACTATGACCCCACCAAGGACCCTAACGTGAACAAGCTGCTGCCCCGCTGGATTGGGCCGTATGAGATTGCTGAGCGAATTGGAAGGAACGCATATCGTGTCAATTTGCCGGCGATACTAAGTCGACGCCATCCAGTGTTCAACATCGATCAGTTGAAATTGTCGATTGAGAATCCACCATACTTCGCGAAGCGATCTCTCTCCAAAGCTGCGCCTGCTATCTACGATACTCAGGGAAATCGGGTTTACGTCGTGGAAAAACTACTGCAACGTCGAACTCGCAAAGGCAAGCTTCAATATTTGGTCAAATGGCTTGATCTACCAGAATCACAAAACTCCTGGGAACCCGTTCAGAAACTACGTCGACTATCGCACTGGAAGCGGCTCGTCAATGGCTTCACTGAGCGCCAGCAACAGCTCAACACGGGGAGATTGTAATATCTGAGTGGCTCTTGCCACGCGTACACTCGTACAATTCGCTGGAAGCAGGTCGCAGCTTAGCATTGGAGCCAAAGCACACGCTGAGTACTTCGATTGGCTGCTTACACGCGGGACCCACTCGAAGTGAGCGATCACCCGTCTAGGCTCTCTCTAGTTTTGTTCATTGACATGATAAGCCTTCGATCCAATGCATCATTATCTGTTTTACCTGCATCTGCACAGTCCGTCTTCAGTCTTGACAATTACCAGATATTACAACTTATTAATAATGCGGTGCACTGTTCCAAACTAAAGGTACTCGGATCAATTTTTGTGGTACATTCATGGAAAGGATTACCCTTAGACAGGAATAAATTGGGGTTGACAGCGCGGGATCATCTGTATTAACCTATACCTGATGATGCTAACGTTTTACTGGGAATACCTCAGAATAAGTAATGGACAGCCCAAACAGGATTAATTGCGTGAGCGTAACGTAAATGGGTCAACGTTCGGACAACATCCAAAATATCGTACTTAGTATGTGATTAAAAGTTCTAAGAACATGTATTCCCAGTGTAAGTCGCAGACGATCTAGTTTTGTTTAGGAAAGAACTACTGCATATTTGGTTTCATTTTGATCGTCATTTTTTTATGGCAGCAGAATCTCCGGCGACCGAGGACTGCCTCGGGTATGCACCCCGTGCTCATTGCAAGCCGTTTCCGCCAGTTTGGGTGTATTGTTAATGCTGTCGCTGTGTAGCTGCCGCCTCACCGGGTCCGCCACGCTGCTGGGTGTTGGCGCCTACTTTCTCAACGAGGTTCGTCATGGAACACCTCATGCCCAGTGGACTTGAGAGGCTGACCCCTGTGCACTGGTACCAGCGTTCCAAACTGCCGCGTCATGACCTGGGTCAACGTCGCTGGTTGCTTATCTGCGCAGGCTCGTTTGCCGCTGCTGGAGTCTGGCGAGCCACGACGCACCTATTCGAGACGCCGGCAGCCACAGCAGCGGCAAAGTCTTCGCCAACTACGAGACCGGATACACAGCCATGATACGCCTGTAAAGGCTGCAGCCAGGTAGCGCGTGGTTGGTTCGGAATCGTGGACACGCACAAGCAAGAGCAACACCGCACCGATGATAAATAGCGTCAATGTATGCTTTTTTATGCTGGTAGTGGTTGCTTTCTCTCCTTTTCTTTTCAGTGAGCCCCATCGCCACTATCGTTGCGCTGAGGCTTCGTATGGTACAGCTCATGCAAAAAGATAAAGCCTAAACATGCACAGTGCTCGCGGTTCTGCCTCACTAATTCACCCCAAAGTACCGCTCTGAAAGAAGACAAGCTCGCTGCACTCGCGCCCCATGTTGAAGTAAGCCGGCGCGCGCCATGGAATCTCCAGACCGAGAAACTTGACCGATTTGAAGGGAATCCCCTATTAGTAGGGGAACTCGCCTCACTGCGCTATAGTTGACCTAGCCTGGGTCTGCGGTGGGGTTCATGACAGCGGCAAGAGACTGCAGTGCAGGTTGGCAGGGCGGTGCATGCTATCGTGGATCATCGACACGGACACAAACACCTGCATCGATGAAGGCAAGTTAGGCATCAGCTTTTGAAAGTATAGACAACAACGTAAGGGCCACCTCACCTTTCGGTCACCCGTGCTCGAGAAATGCCACATCATCTTGCTCTGTGCCGACGCCATCTCGCACGAAAGGATCTTACCAACCAGGTTGTACATCTTGGGCGCGTCCATTGCGGTGCACATTGTGTAGAGACTGTGTAGGCGAAGCTCATCGATATTCTTGCAGCACAGCTCTAGGAACAGCGCGTTCGCCTCGACAATGGTACCATCCAGCTTTGCTAGAAGACTGGGCATACTACTGTTGGCAAACACGTCGCGATATGAGGCAGCGGAGCCCTCGATCTCACTAACGCTGGCGTTCGAGGCGCCATTGGCAGCGCCGCCATACATGTTGTCCATGTCCAGCGGGTACGAGGTCTGAGGCTGCATCCCTGGTATGGACAGCGCCGGCACAGGCGATGGCATACTATCGATCATGAAGACTTGGCCTTTGCTGTCGACGTGGCTGGGAGACGGCGCCGTGATGGACAACCGCCCGCCCGACTCACTGCACGGCGATGGGAGATGGTGCGGGACGCCACCGTTCGGGTGCGGCGACGGGTGCTGCATGTGGTGCGGCATCTGGGGGTGGGGCGCCACGCCTCCGATCTGGTTGCGCTCGAGGTTGGAGATGTACTCGAGCGTGGCCTGCAGCACACTGTATTTGTCCTTCTTGGAGGAGGAGTAACCCGCGGCCTCGAGCTTGTTGCGAAGGATGTCAAACTGGTTACTGATGCGCAGAATGCGACGCTGTTCGCGCAGATTGTGGCGCTGCTTCTTGCTCAGATCGCCGCCACTAGATGAGTACCCGCCAGGGGTTATGGGAGTCATGGGGTACGGACTCTCGCATGACGTTGAGTCACCATTGGTCGAAAGACTGGAGGCTAGCGGGTTCTGGTCGATGAGATTGAGCTTGATATGCATGGGATACGGAGGCTGCTCCACCTTGGGCGAGATGGTACTGTACGCGATCTCCAGCGCCGACGCGTCCTGCAGTGGGGGTCGGCCACTCAAATTAGAGATGGATGATGTCGCTACGGACGTCGAAGAGGAGGAGGAAGCGGACGCAGAGGCCGCAGAGGAGGCGGACATGGCTGTACTTACTCCTCCGTCCGCGACAGACTCGAACTGCTGCTGTGAGGCCATTTGAGCTGCGGAGGACGACAGAGAGGAGGGGTTAGATGGGTCCACTACAGCGGCAACGAGTCGACGCACGAGCACGTACGTTTTGAGGGGCAGCTGCAGAGGGCGGAAGGAAGCTCGACGGCCGCTCGGTGCTTTGGGCTGTGTGTGGCTAAGTAGCTGAGAACGAAAATCACTCGAGGTGGTTTCTATTCCGCTTACTTCATTTTGTTACTTTGCATGATTTGCTCCATCCTCTGCCAAAAGTGCCCATTTAAATGCTTAAATATGCATAAATAGTCCTTCACTCTAACGTTAATCGATCGTTTTTTGCATCCGATACTTTGAGTCGATAGACGTACCCTGGTGTTGGTACGCTGTCAGGATAAATTGAGCAGCGCGTAAAAAAAACCTTGACTCCATTTTTTTTTTTTATGTCACGAAGCTGGGTAACGGAGAATTGTCAAGAGAGTTTTGCGTCAATTTACAGAAGCAGCCGACAGCAAGTCTAAGAGGTAGTAGGCCTTACCCCACGCAATCTCGGCGCCTCTCATCATTGCACCGGCGATCGAAGCTAGGATAGTGAAATCTGACCTGTATACTTGTGTAATCACGAGGCAGTATGCAGTCGTATTTTGCGTGCAAATTGAGCGGATTCTTACCGTAGTGTCCGCCTGAGGTTTTACACATTGTTCTGCCTGCCTTTGTGGCACCTTACGACACTTAGCCTGTTGGTAACTAGCAGTTGATCATGTATACTTTTCGTTATTCTGTGAGCAAGGTTGAAGATAATAAATAATGAATCTCAAGCGTGAAGGAAAAGTGAACTTTGGTCTAAAGCTCCCAAAATTTGGGGCATCTTGATATAGTTCTTTTTATGGAGGAGATATCCAAGGCTCCTCAACTCAGGGCTGATCGGAAGGCAGACCCATCAGCGCCAGTAACTCGGCAGCCCGCGATTCCAGCGCTCACTTTCTTAGGGAGTTAGTTGCGCTGCCAAGGCGTTGAGGCTCAACAGCTTTTGGTAGCTGGCCTGGTGGCCAAGTCCAGATGCTTTTATCATCAAGACGCTCGGTGTTTATGGCCGCACTTGATATCAGGCTTTGAATCCGTAGCGTTACTTCAGACGCCATGCAGAGGATCGGCAAGCCGATCAAAGACACGGCGGGTGTCGGAGCTTGCTGGCCTCATGGCTCCTAAAACACTGCCGAATGGATGGTCATCGTGGCGGTCGTAAAGAGTTCTACCAGGGCACCTTGAAGACTTGGGCTCACAACGACTGCCGTGATGCAAATGCGGCAATGCCGGAGATAATCGGTCACGCAGCGGGCTTCAGACGATGCTTTGCTACTGACACTGGTGGGCGGTCCGTCCTGGCCGGGCACGCAGACAACACGCCGTTTGAGCCACCAGTGGTGGCCCACCAGCGCTCGCAATCAACAGATCCTTTTGAATTGCGAAGAGTTGTCGCACGGCAACTACATACATGTATTAAGTTTACAGGATTGGCTTGTAGCAGCAACAGCGGAGCAAGCTATTCTAGATGTTGGCGCTGCGAGGCGTGCACCGTCAAATAAGTCGACGCATGCTGGTGCGGTCAGACTCCAGCAGTCTGGCAAGTCGAAAGCATCCAAAAAAAGTATAGTGCAATGAACTGCGTTATGAAGCCATGTGTCTCGCCGTCTTTTCTGGTCGCAAAAGGACCCATCTCCTTGTCATTTTTCCTAAAATTGAGATGCTCTAAAACTGTACCGTGTCTGGTCAGTTTAGTACCGTGGCCCGAAACGACACGGGTTGAAGCGGCGCCAACCTAACTTGGTTGTGATACGTCAAAATCGCCAATCTCCATGCAGTCCGGAGGCTACGAGTTCTCGTCTGCGCCACGCTCGGTCGCTACCAAGCGCACCAAGAGTTCTGCCGTGCCGTCCGTCTAAGCTTCCATGTGTGTTTGCGTTTATTTCCATCTGACTGCTGTGTTCTCTGTTCAGCAATGGCAACGCCAATGGCAATACAGAGCGAGCGCAAAACATCATGTTTGACAAACGTGTGCACCGTGGCAGTGCTTACGTGATGCGGGAGGTGCGTTGCGCTGCAAAGGGGTAACGGTTGCTGTGCTTTATGAACTGATCAGGGCTTTTCGCTTTTTCTACAGGAGACGCCCGAGAGCCCAGGACGAGGAGGTGGAGATTCCCGCAAACCGAATAAAGCCGTCACTCGGGCAGCACGTTATCAACAGCAACAACAGCAACAGCAGCAACTGCAACAGCGGCCGGCCACACCTCCCCCGGTCGGCGACAGATTCCACATGGACGTACAGACCGACAATTACCTGGAGGAACTCACCGACAGAAACCCAGAGGTAGATGCGGACACACAAACCGATGCGCTTTTGGATCTACACCCGCCCATTACCTTCATGCCGATACCCTCGGGGATAGATGTAGCCACACAGATTGAGAACGGTGACCTGTTCGACTTCGTCTTGGAGGTCGAACCAATCTTGGAAGTTCTGGTAGGCAAAACATTGGAGCTCGGGATGATGGAACTATTGGAGGAGATTGAGCTACGAGAGATTCGCCAGCGCCAGGAACTATTCGAACAAGCCCGCAACGCCGAGTTGGCCGAGGTGCAGCGTCTCGAAGCAGAAGCAAAGCGCCGTTTCGCAGAGAAGCAGCGTCGCCTGGACGAAGAGACTGCACGTCTCGCAGCACAGGCCGAATTGGAAGAAAAAGTGGCAGCTCGTGCGTCTGCCAAGCAGTATTTGGCCAATCTTCATGCCCAAGTATTCGACACGCTCGTGGAGAGTGGCCATTTCTTCGACCCGCTAGCAAAGGACGTCAAACAGAATTTCCTACCAGGGCTTCTTGAAAGTGCCGCTGCTCGCGCGCATCAGCTCGACGCTGGTCGGAAATTGCTTGATGCGATCCTAGTTGACGCGCTTCGCTCGCGAGCTGCAAGTGGATAGGACCTTAAGATAATATCTATTTTTTTAAGTTGTTCGTTTGCACAAGCTTCATTTTGGTTCGTGTTTCAATAACCTTTAAGGCACCTTAAGGTAAAGTTTTATTGTATATTAATTTAAAGAAAACATATAATTAATACAGCATCCGGTCAAGTGCATCATCAACGCTGTCATGTTCCGCACACAGCTCTTCGATATCTGCAGGAGTGAAGACCCTGTCAGAATCCTCCAGTGTTTGTAATCGCCTTCGCTGTTCATGATTCAGCGTCCTCGCAAAGTAATACGACATCATTTTCTCAATCTGCGCAGTGGACATGTAGCCAAGGTGCAGCTTTTTGCTGATGCGCCCGGGGCGAACAAGGGCTGGATCCAGCATTTCTGGGTGGTTGGTGGTCATGATCACGATCCTCCCAGGGCAGTCGATAACTCCGTCCAGAACATTCAGAACACCGGCGAGGTTGAGTTTATCAGTGGAGTTTGATGAGGACACGAATCCTCCCTTCATCTTTGGCCCAAAACCCTCAAACTCCATCTGCGATTGCAACAACGCAGATAGGAATCCGTCGTCTTCATCGTCATCGTCATCGTCATCTAAGTTCATCGTACTGGGACCGAAAAATCGTGCCGCCATCTTTCCGCGGCGATAGAACGGCCCAAGCCTTGGAATATCCTCAAACCCAGCGTCGTCTTCAACCTCGTTGATTATCTCTGTAGCTTTAGAATTGTTATCTTCACCTTCTGCCGATTTCTCCGATACTGGCGTTGGCGATCCCTCCTCGCGAGTTGCTACAACTGAAGACGCACAGTCAATGTCCTCCATCACGAACACGACGTCTTTGAAGCCCATGCGTACAGGCAAATCGAGTCTATCGATGGCGTAACGGAGGTCAAACATGGCGTCCATGAGCTCCTGGTTGGTCTTGACTTTGCCGAGAGAGATGTTTACGATATGGCGTCCAGTCTTCTCCGCCACCGCCTTGATTACACTTGTTTTGCCTGTTCCGGGTGGTCCATACAGCAGCAATCCTAACTTGTTCGGGAATCCCTCGATGGCAAACTTGCCCGTTTTGTTTTCAAAGTGGTATAACAACTGCAGCAGAGACTCCTTCTCCTCGAAGAAAACGTTATCGAATGTTTTGTCGTTGCCCAGGGCGTAACGTTTGTGGTATGGTGCACTGAGTTTACTTTCGTCGTCCGTGTCGGTAGCTGCTGGTCGGTCTGAAGAGCGCACATACATGTACCGAGCAGTGTCACTCGTAAACTTCTTGTTCTCGATGTCTCGATAGAATGTAAATGCCTTTTCAACGAACGCGTCGATCCGTTCTGGTCCATCCGGTAGATTAGATCGCAAGTGGAAAAGCGTCTTGGTCTCTTGAATAGTGGTACTTTTCTCATCATCATTTTTCTTGGTCTCGTTCATGAACTCGACACCTTCTTGGACCACTATCCATCGATCCAAAGGTGGCAACACACTCACTCCAAGCTTAGCAACTTCAGGTAAAGCAGGCTGCTCTAGCAACACCTTAATGCGTTTCTGTTTTTCAAGATCAATGTGCACAAACTCCTTTTTCGCGAGCAACTTCTTCGCATTCGGTCTCTCCAGCAGATCGTATCGTCCTGACTTGTCCCCCATATCCAAGTTCTCAGTGAGGTATAGCAAAATGGCCTTCTGCAGCAACTCGTTTCCCTTCGAGTCGTCGTCGAGGCGGTACGTTCGATTTTCACCCGACACTGCTTTGGTTTCCACGACGTGGGTCACGTACTTCCGCGGAAAGAACAGGCAACACAGGAACTCAAATATTGTCCTAAGGACTCCCAGCGCGTCCTGGCCAGAGTTGGTGATCCGCTGCACGACGGCTGGCACCACCATGCAAACCATTAGGTCGTATACAGCATTGCCCGTGCGTAGGGTGTTGATAACTCCGAACTCGAGAGCCGTAGAGGTTGACATGACAAGCTTGTGACGGGTTACTAGAAGCACTTGAGAGGTTCTTGGCACTTTGAAAAGTGAAGGCAGCTTTTGAGCAACTCAAACTGTGACTAGAGTGAGTGATGGTCTCCTTTATGGACACTTCAACTTAATGCATACAAAAAGCAAGATATTAAGTCAATGAGAGCGATTTGGGTACAACCGACAGCATGATTTGCTCCAGCCGTTCGCAATTGTGAATGAAGTTCGTGATCACCAACCAAAATGTTCACTTCTAGCTCACTAGGCAAATTGCCACGAGTCTGCCGCTTCATCCATGGATCCTTCCGAAGCGTTCCCTTCAATCGTTCAAACCCTGGTCCAGCCACTCTTCGAGGTTGCTACGAACAACACCGCAGACTCCTCGGACCACAAGAACTCTTCAACTCCCTACATAGTCTTCAATACTCTCATGCTCGCCATGGTGCCCGTCTGTATGCAACTGATGTTGTACCCGGCGCACCTCGAGGCCCTGGCCTGTAAGCTGAAGGGCGCTATGGTGGGTGGCAAAACCAGCGACCTCGTTCTACGAGAGATCAAAGCTGTTACGCGCTATGGGCAATACTACGTGTTGGACGAGTACCAGAACCGTCACGGTCACATTTTGCAGAAGGCCATTGCCACTCACCTCGCTGACGTCCTTCAGTTGCGAGGCAAGGGAGTTCGCTATGAAATGGTGGAACGTGAGCTCGACGACGCAACGCAGGAGAAGTTGAACATGGTGTCCAAGCGAACGACAGAGTACTGGTCCGATGATGACGACGATGCAACTATGTACGAAGAACTCAATCGCATGCGAGTCGCGTCGCTCCCGAAATTACAGGAATGGGTCGAAGTGGAGAAGGGCATCTACTTCCAGCAGTACTTACAGAGCCCAGAGGAGGACGAAGGTGGTCGAGACACTGTCATGCGCAAAACTAAGGAAGTCATTATGGTGTACGCTTTCAAGTCCAACGAACGTGGTGCGTCCAAGAAGATCGACAAGCTCATCAACGATGCTTTCGCCAAGTACCAGTTGCTAGAACTTCTGAAGCTGGCAAGTGACAAGAAGCGGTATATGTACGTGCAGGCTGTGCAGGAAGCAAAACCAGGAGATGCCGAAGACGGAGGAACAAAGTCGACTCCTGCGGTGGTGTACAAACGATATGCTCTGAGTGGAGAGAAATCGTTTAAGAACTTGTTTTTCGACGAAAAACCGCAGCTGCTTCAGTTTCTCGACAGCTTTATGGCTCGATCCGGCAAGTTTGCCATTAAAGGTTTCCCATACAAGCTGGGTTTACTGCTGCATGGACCACCAGGTACTGGGAAGACCAGTCTCATCAAAGCTGTGGCACAGTACACCAAGCGCCACATCGTGACCATCTCATTGGGAAAAGTTAAGACGAACCAGGAGCTCATGAACGCCCTCTTCGATCTTCGTTTTGTCGTGAAAGGTGTGGATCTGCCTGTGAATATGACTTTTGAAGACATCGTTTTTGTCATGGAAGATATCGACTGCGCCGCATCTGTAGTAATGGCACGAGAGAACAAATCGGACGCTCCACGGAGACAGCGCAAGCGCTTTGCGCCGTCTTCTTCGTCAGCGTCCGACAAGCTGAATTTGTCGGGTCTGCTGAATGTCCTCGATGGAGTCATTGACTGTCCCGGTCGCATTGTGATCATGACCACAAATCACCCCGAAAAGCTTGACTCTGCACTCATTCGTCCGGGCCGTGTGAACAAGAAGCTCATGCTTGGATATATGAATGCCACTCAAGTCCAGAATATGATCGAGTACTATTTCGCAACCACTTTGACCTCAAGACAATGCGAAATACTGGGAAATGCTGTCACCGACGGAAGTGTACCGGTTACTCCTGCTGCAGTGGAGGCCTTGTGCTCTGAACACGATGATACTGATGCCGTACTGAACACAATCTGCCAGATGCAGGTGACGGTATCGTCCGCTGTTGGTAGCGCATAGCATTTTGAAATTGTAATTTGCAGAACAATAATAGAGGCACCCAGCGGTCACATTGTCAAATATTTAGTCACACCCTGAACAAACTAAACCACGAAACGTGCAAGAATTGGTTTGGTCGTAAATTACGCAGATTTATGAACCAAAATTACGAAACGCATCGGTTTGTGGTAATATATTTCCATGATCTGAACCATGGGTAAAGGTATGGAGTTATAGTGGTTACCGGTTTGGAGTTACCTGACCTTTCGAAGCTTATGAAAGACTGTACAGGAAGATTGCGTCCTTTCGTTAAAAGCCGCATCGTTTGAAGATACTGT